GGCGCAACTCAGCTGCAAAAGTGGCTGTGGGAAAAAACCCGTTTTTTGGGAAGGTATCATGGGCAACCACCATGAATCAAATCGACAGTGGAAAAGCTTGAGCAACAGTTTCCGGTGCAGGTACGTCGACCAGCGTCCTGGTCGATATCCTCAGGACACTGCAGAGAGCTTTGTTAAGTGGAGCTCTGCAGGCCTGCTCCACTCCCCTGCCCATGTAAAGTGGAAAGAGTGGTGGTGGAAGACCCTTTGTCCAGGGTTGGACACACACACACACACCGAGTGATAATCCGAAAGCTTTGGAGTATTTAGTGCAAAACCGCAAGAATGCTGGGTCCGTCAATTTGAAGCAGCTCTCAACGCGATCGGCAGCGACGGCGCAGCGGTGTGGAGAGGGTTGCATGAACCACCATGGAAGTAAAAAACACAGCGGCAGGGCGGACCAGTAGTGTCATTGTATTCGAAGCAGGTACACAGGGATGATCAGTCCCTGTTTCCTAGTCCACTGCATGGAACTTCGTTGGCGACAGCCATGCAGCGACTCTGTCGCCCCCTGCGTGAATGAGATCGAGTGGGACCCCGGACACACACACACACACCCTGCTTCCAATGGGCAATCCCCTTATTTCCCTCTACCTGTGACCACTGAGCAAGAGGTTATCTCTTAAAAATGACGTCTTTGGCTAACACATGGGATCCATTTGGCGCGTACCGCTTGAACTCAGCAGGCAGAGAAGCTTGTGGGGATGACTTTCCCGGTCAAGGCGAGTCTTTTTCAAGAGGTGGTGGGGTGGTGGATCTCAAGGGTCATGTTTCTCATCTTCGGATCGATATGACTCACCACCGATTCGATTCATATTTTTTAGCTCGTTCCTATACTTTCAAGGAAATTTAGAGGCACGATTTCAGGTGTGGTGTGTAGGCCCAGTTAAGCCAAAGTTGTGACTGGCAACCTGTTCATATGAGAATTCGTCAGAGTTCATCTCGGAAAACACTTGTGACTTCGTACTAAAACCAAGCTGCTGGTGTGGGTTCGCATGCGTAAAGATCTCTACTAAAGGATCCTTCGGTTCATATGGATGCACCAACAGAGGTCACTGGCTTGGTCTTCGTGCGGGGAGGAGGTCTTCTTTGTGCCACTTGTGCAGGGGCGCCGAGAGCGAAGTCAAGAGGAACCTTGATATATATATATATATAGAGGTGGAAATGGATCCATCAGGTCATTTTTGCATTTTCATGGCCTCTGTTTGGACGTGGAAAAAACTTTGATTTCAGTCAAATGACCTCCGGGCCAACTTCCTTGGGTTTTTAAATTGCTCTTTCAAGTGACCTCAGTATGCAAGGGTAGGCCTGCTTCTGTGGTGGAGGTCCGGCAATTCCATTTCTGATGTACTGTATATATTTTATACATACACAGCTCCTGACTTTTAACAATATCATGCCCATAGGCCGCTACGCATCCATCACTTCATCCGTGGACATACTTGGGTGACGAAGAAGGCTTTTGCGCTTTGGTAATGTGGTCATCCACACACTCTCCGGCTTTTTCAATTGACAGTCTAGGAATCACTTGGTGTGAGCTACTGCATTATAGAGTTAGACTTGTTTAAATGGATCGATACCGACCAGGGAAACATGCCTATTGATTACGACAGCTTGGAAGCTTTAGTACTCCCCACGATTCGCAGATCCCTTCAAGATCAGATGTGTGCAAAGTTTGCGGGGATTCATGAAACACATGTTTTTTTGCTTACCAAAGCTGGTGCTCACAGCCTACGGCAACTGAGCTTCGTATACCGGTGGTTTCCTCATCGACCTGTTTTGCCGGCACCCCAAGCATTCAATACTGCTCTTCAACAAAATTGAGGCTCCTCATCGTTCCAGTGACTCTAGTGACCCCCCTGATTTACCAGTTGCTTCTGATCAAACAATAAGGTTTGACCCGCGAGACCCGAGACACTTGCCTGGTTATCACAAGTTTTGCCTTGAGAAGCATCCTCATATTCTTCGTTTTACCATGTTACTCTGAGTCTATGCCCAGTTTCCCAAGGCCTGCTACGTTTTTGTTCCCCAACAGCGAAGCTTAGGGGTCTTCAGCCATAGCAAGGACTTTGGAGCAGATCGGAGCAGGTGCCGCAGCAGGTTCCGGAGCAGGTTCCGGAGCAAATTGTGGAGCGGCTTCTGGAGCAAGTTGCCCAGCAGGTCCGGGATAATCCAAGTGTTTGTCGTAGTGTCGTGCCGCTTTCCTGCGCGGAAAAGGTGCCCTGGGCAGGCATCATGAGAAGCTGTTGGTTTTTGGCTTTTAAAGTAGAGGGGGTGCGTAGAGAAGCTAGACTTCAATCAGGTGTTTCGGGGCTGTATAGAATCAGTGAGAGGCTAGAGTCTGAGTCCGAGGCCTTTCATGACATTTTGAGGTATATACATGGGTGGTGTGCTTGCAGCGCTTTGGAGATACGCTGTGTCTCTCTCACGCGCTGAGTGTTGCAGCCGATACGCTGACATGATTCGTGTTGTCAGGCTGATATGTCGTGCTTGTGCGTATGTGGGCACATGATATGTGCTGTCCCGAGGAATTGCTGTGTTGGCATGGTCGCGTGGCAGATTGAAAAGGTGAACACTTCTGAAGACAGCATTGTCTGGCAAAGACACGACCCTTGTTGGTGAACTTGCGATGGTGCCATTGCCTAGTAGGATGCCCAGCTGTTGGGAGTTTTTCTTCGCCTAATTTCTTAAAGACCCACAGGTCTGCAGTAGCATGTTGTTCGTGTGGTGTCGCAGCAGACAGTTCATGGCGGGCTCTCCGTGCACTCCTCCTCATGGAGCATTCGCTCTTCAGCGACGTCACTGCAATTGTTTTCGCCAATAACGAGTCTCTTCGTCACTTCGATGATTTGGACGACCTTTTTGTGGTGGACTTGAAGGCTTTAAATATCGTAACGCAGGCGTCTTCGAAGGCCGCGCAAATTGTGCAAGAGATCCTAAGCCGGTTTGCGAGCGTTGTTTTGCTAAGGGGTACCCTTTCGCGACCCCACAGAAAAGGGAAAAAACAGAACACACTGTTATATTTTTTGACCGTTTTTACCGCGGATATGGTATTGAAAAAGGGGCGCCCTAACGGTTTGAAAATCAAATTCGATTTCTACCGTTTTTACCGCGGATATGGTAGAAGAAAAAGGCCCCCCCCCGTAAAGCCGTTAAACAAGAATCGATTTTTCCGTTTTTACCGCGGATATGGTTTTAAAAAAGGGAGCGCCCCCCGGTAAGAACGGTAAAACAAAGAAAAGATTTGACTTTTACCGTTTTTGCTGCGGAGATGGTAGAAAAGAAAAGGGTGGATCCATCAGCAAAAACGGAAAAACCATCTATTTTTACCGTTTTTACCGCGGATATGGTAGAAGAAAAAGGAGCAAACGACTGACAAAAATAACAATTTTCAATTTTTACGGCTTTTACCGCGAGGATGCCTCCGGAACAGGTCGCAAGCTAGAAGACCTCTGTAAACAAAAATATTTAATGTTACAGCCCTCGGGTATCTTCCTATAATCTGGTGGGGTTGACCCCTCCTATCATATAGGAGCGTGTGCCCTGTTCGACAAGAGGAGTTTGATGTTTGATCAACATTTAATGACTTTAAACTTTTGCAAGGTAATGAAAACCTACATCACTTGGATCGAACACTTTCGTTTTTTACCGTTTTTACCGCGGATATGGTAGAAGAAAAAGGGGCGACCCTCCGTTAAAAACGGTTGTTAAAAAATAGGACCGTTTGCCCCCCGGTAAAAACGGCACAAAACATCGATTTTTACCGTTTTTACCGCGGATATGGTAGAAGAAAAAGGGGCGCCTCCCCGGTAAAAACGGATCTTTACCGTTTTTACCGCGGGGATGCCTCGGGGGAACCCCGTAGCGCGAACAACTACGCTAAACCAGCACAGAAGGGATCGGGTCAATGCATTTGTGTTTGCTGCTCGTGACAGCTGTGCAGAGGGTACTGCGAGCATCAGCAGGCAAGTCGGAAGAATCGGGTTGCTTTCAGCTTTTCCGCGTGACAAGATAGAACACAGAAACCTTTTGACTCTCGTGCGCTCATGTTTTGACAAGCAACACGGCCTATCGCCCAGCAATACCTTTAAGGCGAATGTAATCTTTGAGACCAGCACTTGACGAGCAAAGCGTGAGGGTCAGACTCGCACGTTCATAGACGGGTGTTGAACACATTGTTTGCAATGGGTATCAAAGGCGGAGCCATGTTTCACGGCGCCTGCAATGTAATTGAAACCCAAAGATAATGATCATGTTTAACACACGCTGCCTGCCAAAAAAGACGACGTTCTCCCCACTCACGAACAGCTGCAAACCTGTTAAAATTAATGCCCAAGCGGACGAAACAACATATTGATCCGCGAGAACTCATTTCCAACTCCACGAATTTGACTTGTAAAGAACGTAGAAGTACAGGCAGGTTCAGGTAGTAACAATTGCCTACTAGTAACAAGTGCATCGCTACTAGTAACAAGTGCAGTACTAGTAGTAACAAGAAGCTAGTAGTAACAAGTAGATGATGCCTTTGAAATGCTTTGGTGAACCTCCGAACGTCATTTGATCGGACCTACTCGACTTCCCCGACCCCTCTTTTCGAACGATGTCACCAATTTCATACCCAAGTTCGTTCTGCCTGCGGTCCGCCTGGAGTATATTGCACAAAATCACTAAATGCAGTTCCTGTACAGTCTTTCGTTTCTAGAGGATATGGGAACATTTTATTTCTGTATTTGGTCCTATTCTATGATTTTGGATTTCACACAAAATGAGTGTACTCAAACTCAAGCTGGTAGAAGGGATGCCCAGCTGTGTGCAAAGGGGCAGGGCCGGCTTGTGGTTGCTGTGAAACTGAGTACATCGCAGCTGCAACATCATTTCCTGATTTCTCACCAAAACACATTGAGTTTGGGTTCACCGTTTTCCTCAGTTCATCTCGAAGTTTTGGGTGAAATGATGAAGCCCCGTTTTCCTGAGGCCTTTGAGGCGGAGGATCACAGCTCATTAGTCTTGGGGCCCAGGGCGCATTTGTCTCCTGATGAGGTCATCGCAATGCAAGTGTCCCCAGATACGTGTTTTCATTTTTCCTACCACATATTGGTTCATACTGAAATGAACTTGAGTGTTGGCACTCCCCCAACCAACTGGTTGTAGCGAGCGACATTCTGACCCACACAAACCAGAATTGAAACTTCCCCCTGTTTCAGAAGAACATCGTCCTCCCAGGGGCCGTGCCCATGTTCTGTGTTCGCTGGAGTTTCACCGGTCTGCCTTTTGGAGTCGATGTTCTAAGTACGATCCAGACCATGAGTCAAGCAACCTCAAGATTTGGTGCAAACATGACTCAGATGATTCAGAGCACATGTCTATCTTCGGAAAAGTATCTTCCAATTCATCCCTCATGCTTTGGAGAACACTTGTGCTGTTGGCAGCTTTCCGTCCTAATCATCTGCTTGAGACAGATGTATATACTTCTCATTTAATTATGTTGCTGCACACTTACATTTTATACTGAAGACAGGGCGGATTGAATTTGGAAGGACCCGCGAGAAAATTTCCTGATGGCTGATGGCATGTGTCCTTGAGGCAGCTGTTGCCGGGGAAGACTGGTGCCCACATATCACGTTGCGAGCTTACCTGGGCCGAGAATTGCTTGGGAGACAAGGCCCTTTCGGAAAGGACTTTGCGTGACAGCTCTGATACAACATAGACATCTTAGAGCTCCCCCCTCAAGAATCCTGGCATAACTCTTGCTAAGGCTATTGTTTTCAGGTGCTTGGCGTCCAAAGAACTCCAACGACCTTCTTAAGGCTCTGCAGGTGGCGAAGTGCCGGACGTTTTGCAAGGATCACGACGGGTGCTGATCAACACCAGGGTTTCTGCCCCCGAAACAGCTTTATAGTTTTAATGATGACCTTGGGGAAACGGAACTCGCTCCGATTGCAACTTCTCGCCTGGTACTCGACTCGAACTGGGCCAGGCCGAGAAATTCCAGAGCCATCCCAATCCCGGGCCATCGCAAAATGCAGAGCCACATGTTTTTTTCATTTGGGAGCAGGCTCTAGTAGACCGAGCCGCTCACCTAGACCTCGTGATTTTTCCAACATGCCATCTGGGGTCCACGTAGTGACCCAACTACTGTGTAGATGATCCAGTTCATCACCCGCACTGACACTCAACTCCATTCCTCCTGGATCCAAGAACGCCCCCGTTGCATTTCTTAGGGAGTCCCAGATCAGATCCACAGGGATTCAATCGTTCATTGGCTCAGAATGTTGCCAGAACATTTCCATGTGGCAGGCGCTGGCTATATTGCCATCGAGTAGCCCCAAGATCGCGAGCGAGGTGGGACTCCATGGCAGAACGCAGTCGTATTCAGAAACTGCGCTGTATTGAGAAATTAGTCTTCAGAAACTATTTCGTTGTATTCAGATACTATTTTTGCGGTATTCAGAAACTATTTTCGTCGTATCCAGAAACTACTTTGTCGTATTCAGAATCTTTTTCGTGGCATTCAGAAACTATGTTCCTCATATTCTGTAAAATTTGTGGAGGGAGGGTGGGGGGCACGTCGTGTTACCGCGGGTGCTATTTTTTGGGAGAGTGGGTCTGGTGCTATGACTGACTGACCTGACTGACTGACTGACTGACTGACTGACTGACTGACTGACTGACTGACTGACTGACTGACTGACTGACTGACTGACTG